TTGGTTTTGTCATCTGTGTCTGTAGCTGTCTTAATATTGTTTGCTTTGCCTCATGTAAATCTTGTTTCCTAATGCTAGCCTCTGGTTTATGTGCATTAATTATTTCACTCGTGCTTGGAACTTGTGTATCTGAACTGTATTCACTAATTATCTTGACTAAATTGTCGGTGAGTTGTGCTACTGTCAGTGTTTTTCCTTGATGTTGTTGCATGAATAGGTTTCGTGGTGCATCATTACATAGTACAATTTTGTGATATCTTAGTTGAATTCCTAGTGCTAGTTTCTGCCCTGTTTTAGTTTTTATCTGATCAAGCTTTTGGATTATGTCTTCCCCCGTTTTCCATTCCCCCCCAAGTTCGTGCAATTTCTCAATGATTTGTCTTTTTTCTTGTCGTTTGTTTTCGTCTCTTAGTTGCTTTGCTATTTTTTTGGCTTCTAGTTGTTCTCGTTTGTGTTTGTAAATTGCGAGTTTTCTTTGTTTATATCTTTCTTCTACATACTTGACTGAACTTATTGCAGTGTTAATGTACCTCTCTTTGTGATGTATGTCTAATGTGTCTAACCAGTCTGCAGTCTTATTATTAGCGTATAGGATCGTCGCTTCCATGTTAATTGTCCGTGCGTTAGGTCGTTGTCTCATCAGCATGTCCAACTGTCCAAAGTCTCGTTCACTCGCAACGTTAGTGGCAGGTACCTTTGCCGCGGCGTCCCTGTACCCCCTGTCTGACTTCATGCGTGTTCTCATTTCATGTGTGCACCTGTGTAAACTTAGTTGGAAATGTGTGAGGATGATTTCTAGTGCTTCCTGCGTGTATATATTGTGTTGAATATCATCAGTGTCTGTGAACATTGTTTCATACATGCCATCTCTATGCACCTCCGCCACACCTTCATCAAACATCACAACACGCCCAGCTACCAATTCCGATGCATCACTTGACCACACTTTTAGCTTCTCCTCCATCACATCTAGATAAGAAAGGACTGCCCCAATATTTCCCTCGGAATTGATTAATCTCCACAGCGGGCCTGTTATTATTTTATCTATGATTCCAAGTGCTCTTATACCTGCTACATATACGGGGGACTCTAGATCTTTTTTAACTGCTTCTAGCAACAGGTTCCCACTACCCCACACCTCAAGGAATGACCGGAAAGAGTCCATGTAATAATACGCTGCTGCAGCGTTGTAAAATATTACATTAAATCTATTACCCTTGAACTTGGTTAGATGTACTTTATTATCTAGATATGCAGCAAATGGACTCATTACCCCTGCACTCTCGCTTCCATGATTCTCAAACGTCTTACACATCTTTCTTATAGCATCTATTGCACCACACCCACTCACTTTCTCACCCAATGCCAAACTCTCAAACGTTTTCAAAGCTTAATTACCATAAAATGCAATTGGCAATAAAACCTATTTATTTCTAAAATACCCGATGCCTGTTCCTCCGACAATTCCCCTAATTCTACAGCTGTTTCTACTAAGGACTTTCTCCATTCCTCGATGTCATCTGCAAGGGACTTGTTGACGATGTGGCGGTCAGTCATCATGTTCTTAATTGGCTCGACTAGTCTTGCAGCGAGTGCTCTCTTGTCCTCTCCTGCTTGTATCATCAAATCTTCTATCTCTCCTAAAATATCTTGTAAAACCCCCTTGTACATTTTTGCTGTTCCCCCCTCCATGTCCAGAAGCCCCAGTGTAAATGTTCCCCCCGGTGTAGTAATGTCATATGTACCATAGTGCTCGATATGTACCATAGTGTTCCCCGTATTTGCTTGTCCCGTCCGTGTGTAGTGTACTTTCGCTAGCCTCAACTAATTCTGTACCCATCTGTATTTTACTTAATGTACGTGCTTCCAACACCATATCTCTCATCAAACATTCACTCGGTAATCTACCAACATCCACACCACCCATCTTCGTTAACACTGTATTAATGATTGAACTAACATTTCTCACACCCACACCCCTGTTTAATAGGTCATAGCACACTTCTCTCACTTCATTCACGTATCTCCCCCCATGAAACGTTACAACTTCAGACTGCTCCATCACTTCTCTCATTTCCCTCTCATACTTTGCCTCTAGTTCTAATTTTGTTATTTCATTTCTTAATTCATCTATTTTGCTACCTAAATCTGCTGCTTTTTGTCTACATCGTACTCTCATGGTTGCTGCTCTCCTCACATACAATAACTTCTCTTTCGACACACACTCCAACTTCTCTCGCAATTGCTCATTTTCATCTTTAGCCTCTTGCACTTGTCTTTCTAACTCTGTAATAGTTGTCATCATTTTGCTTTTACATGCTAATTGTCTAACCTCCCGTTTCTTAATGTTTCGTATGTTGTACTGTACTAGTTGTGCTTTTGCTGTGCGTAGTTGTTTTGATTGTGATTCATATTTTTTCTGTAATCTGTAATGTTGAAGAAAGTTTTGGTGTTGCTGCCGCTGTTCTTGTTCTTGCTGCTTCTGTTCTTGTGCTTGCTGCTTCTGTTCTTGTTGTTGTTGCTTCTGTTCCTGTTCTTGCTGCTTCTGTTCTTGTTCTTGTTCTTGCTGTTTCTGCTGCTGTTCTTTGTTGTCTTCTTGCTGCTGCCTTTCTGTCTGTTGTTGTGCATCATCCAACTTGCATTGACATGGCTGAAATTCCTCATCTAAAAACTTAACTAATTTTTCACGTCTAAGACTTCTAGCCTTCTGCTTTACCCTTAACATGCTGACACGTACATAATGTTCATCACAATCTACAAAACGGTTATCAATCTTAATTAACATCTCTCTTGCAACACTTGGAGTATGTATACGTAACTTATATAAGACGCGATTTGTTACTTTATTTTCTACTGCATGCGCCATGCTAACAAATGTACAGTACACAATCTATTACCCAAAATTCTGTAAACCGAAAAGCTCTGAAAACTGGAAGTTTTTTCGTGGAGGTTGTCTGCACACAAAAGCTTGCGTTTTGTTGCACAAGGTTCACTGCAGAAATATTAATGTGTTTGGCATTACTCTTACAATTATAATATATAATAGATTGTGTACTGTATTAATATGTAACTGTAAAAATGTATAACTATAATAAATACAGCGTAATAAGCAAGTCAAAAGTAAAATTAGTAACTAGTAACTGTAATAACAATATTAATTATCTATTAATAACAACAACATAAAATGGTAAAATTCAAAATAACAACTTATCAACAATAACAACTAGCCAACAACAAATTTCATACAATTATAATATATATAAAGATTGTGTACTGTATTAATATATAACTGTAAAAATGTATAACTATAATAAATACAGCGTAATAAGCAAGTCAAAAGTAAAATTAGTAGTAAATTAACTGTAATAACAATATTAATTATCTATTAATACCAACAACATAAAATGGTAAAATTCAAAATAACAACTTATCAACAATAACAGCTAGCCAACAACAAATTTCATACAATTATAATATATCTAAAGATTGTGTACTGTATTAATATATAACTGTACAAATGTATAACTATAATAAATACGGCGTAACAATTAAGTAAGTCAAAAGTAAAATTAGTAGCAACTGTAATAATAATTAATAGTTAAAATTTGTATAATTGGCCATAAGGCAAAACAAATTATCAACAATAACAACCAACAACAAATTAACTTAGCTGGAAAAAGTGGGAACAGAAGATGGAGCTGCTCTAGAGTCTAGTAGTAGTAGTAGTAGTAGTAGTAGTAGTAGTAGTAGTAGTAGTAGTAGTAGTAGTAGTAGT